GAACACAAGAAGCAGCGAATCAATCCTACCGAAATCAGCACTCAATGTGATCTGTCCTAATGCTGTTCTAGCCCCGACTTCTGTGCGCATTCATGGGGCTACTGTCCATCAGTTGCAATTAATTCGTGAAACGATGTTGTGTGTTCAATCTGAATCTGGCGTATCAATCCCAATCCGATTCCTGGTATCAGCCCACAGTCCGTCTATTCTGGGCCTTCGAGCAATGCGGCTACTACAAGGATTCATCATACTACACACCAACAACGATATGTCAGTCACCTCACATCTTCAACATTTGATTGTACAGTGTTCCGGTAACGTTGGTGACATGAAAGTACCGTCGGTGAAGTTGGAAGTGGACGGTGAACCTATCTTCCTAAAACGACGCGTCCTCCCATACGGTCAACGGGAAGGTGTCCTGAAAGCATTTCAGAACATGGAGCAAGATGTTGTGATAAGTAAAGTTGAATCCAGTGCCTGGGCTACCCCGATTGTCGTCGTGATGAAAAGTGATGGTAGGACACCACGGATCTGTGGAGACTATCAACTGACATTGAATCCCAGATTGCGGAGATGTACAGCGACCACCATTGAACCAGAGGATTTCATGAAGTCATTGCATGGGTGCCAGTATTTTTCGAAGATCGATTTGGCTCAATTGATTCAACTCCGTGTCACAAGCTAGCCAGGTAGCCGTGTTCACTTCCTCGACCAATTTCACATCAGTACACGGAGCCAGGTTCGATGCTGGATCTGTGGAACACAATCTAATTTGGTACATACTTTTAAAAGTATTGTGACCCATCTTTTCTTACTTTATATATATCTGATTCCGTTTTCATCCGATTCAATTGGCTCAACTCCGTGGCACATGCTAACCAGTTAGCTGTGTCTACTCTGTCAACTGATGTTCTACCATTACGCGTATCCATCTCCATTTTGGATCTGTAGAACCAGACATGTTTTGACATCCTTTCACCAGTATTATGCCCTTAGCACACTTCTTGATTAGAATTGGTCGTTTGCTTCTTGCTATTTCTTTCCCTAATCCCTTCTCAGCTGGGCTGCAACCAAGACTGCCGATGTTCGCCTTCCCATTCCAGATCCGATTGGTTTGGGCCTGACGGAGGCTTGAGGTCTACACCCACAATGAACAATTTGGCACGGGCAATGGTTGTTGGGCGTAGCTCTATCCACCGCTTTGACTACATGCGTCCGCATTCCGGACCAGGTAGAGGAACGCACCCCCTGCCTCATTTACAAGGTGATTTAAGGTTGGATGCCTAGCGTCTAGTCAGTTCCACATCAACGCGACCAACGCCTAAATAACGTAAATAACCCAAATCATTCCACTGCTGATCGGAGACCCTGAGACCATCGAACAAGACCCTTCAGAACTCATCTGTTTCACAACGTGAAGTGCGTACATATTACATGACAGTTTCACTCTGTTCTGCTTCACCCTATCCGCTCTTGTGCCGGTTTCCGTCCAATGATCTGCAGGCCGCCTCTTGTTATTTTACTTACTGCTTGTTGTGTTTCCAATCATCCCACCATTCATCCGGTATAACGATTCTTGTTTTTCATCCAACTTCCACCGACTAGCTCTTTTAGAGCATTCCGTTATCCTCAACTTTTTTTATCTGATACCTTGTCCACTCTGTGTTCCATTTGTAATCATGTTCACTGGGACCTTCCATTTTCCCCCCTTTTGGGCCTCTCCTGTACGAAGGATTATGTTGTACATTTGATCATTCTTATGCATGCCTTACGGGGCTCCGTGAAATATACATTTATTATTATTATTATTTGGCGGACGCATACCTACAGATTCCACTCGATTTCGAATCTTGCTACTTGACAACAATCAACAAGTCGTGGAGAATGTATCAGTACAATTTTCTCCCATTGGGATTGCATGTATCGTCTGGCCTCTATCAATCGGCAATAGACAGTGTAATCAAAGGACTTGACGATGTGCTTGCATATCAAGATGACGTTCTCATTTTCGGCCTTAATAAGAAAGAACACGATGCCCGTCTTACGCAGCTACTGGAACAATTTTCCGTCAGGAACGTGGCTATCAAGCGGTCCAAGTGTGTGTTTGGATTAAGTGAGTTGGAGTTTCTAGGATTCACAGTTGATTCCCGTGGATATCGTCCCGATCCGACACGTTTCAAACCATAGACTAACATCGAATCTCCAAAAGATCAAACGCATTTGAGATTGGTGATGGGATGCCTACAGTACTAGTCCCGATTTATCCCGAACTTTGCTACAAGGGCGCAGCCGCTTTCCGTGCTCAGTGTTAAAACGCTTGGGAATGGTCGGTGGGGTGTAAAGATATCTTACGTGGTTTAATTCGCTGCGTTACCGATCGTCCCGTTCTCTCCCCGTTTTCACCTTCAAAACCGACTACACTCATCACCGATGCATCTGATGTCGGAATCGGTGCTTTATTACATCTACTCAATGCGGCAGAAAAGGGATACTCACAGACTCAAAAGGAAGCGTTGGCTGTATTTTGGGCTGTTTGACGATTGCACAAGTATCTCCTCGGATTGCGGTTTACTATCATCACTGATCACCAAGCGCTACAGTTCTTGTTTAGCCCCAATAAATCCATCGCGAAGTCCACTGCTGCTATGCTACAGAGGTGGAGACATCGTCCAGGAAAAAAATCCCGCAGGCTGAGTTCTTCTCCCGCTACTCACGACTTTATGAGGCCGAACAGTGTCATTTCATCTCTCCAGCATCACCAGTATCTCGGGAATCTCTACGCAAATCTACCAAACAGTACTACTCGGCCATACTCTCAGCGATCAAGAAAGGGTGGTCGCCAAAGGTAAAGAGAAAGTATCCTCAATTCTTTGCTCATCGAGAGGAGTTGTCAGTACAGTTGGATGGTTTATTATGTCGCGCTGACCGATTGGTAATCCCACCGCCACTACGGAAGATGGTGCTAGAAGAGTTGCATAAAGAACATATAGGGATGGAGAAGATGAAATCATTGGCTCGACAGATATGTTGGTGGCCGGAGTTGGACGCAGACATTTATGACACAGCCAAGAACTGTGAGTCATGTTTACATAAATTATGAACAAAACCGAAAAACTGGACACGATCGCCGGAAAGTTATATACCATGACAAATGGTTCATTTGGATTGTTGACATTCTGACTTAACGTCTTCATATACACAGTACACCTCTCGAGTTTAAAAAGCTCATGAAGTGGAATGGAATCCTCATGGTGATTGTCTTCTTAGACTAAGTGAGTTTAAAAGCTCATGAAGTGGAATGGAATCCTCATGGTGATTGTCTTCTTAGACTACAGTCAAACAACTTACCTGACTAACTTTCGCACCTCCAGTTAACCGCCAGGCTTCTCTCTATCTGACACATTCTGATGCAGAAATGGTGCTCACATTGTTTTCCATTGTCTACACACACAGTACACATCCCGAGTCTCAAACCTCGACCTCACATTGTCTGCACACACAGTACACATCCCGAGTCTCAAACCTCAAAATCTGGAATCATTGGAGTTGTGAACGCTTATTCTTGACATAATAATTCCTTCGTTTTGTGTCGAATCCGCTGATTCGCTTCCTCCTTTTGAAGTGCTTTTTTTGTGTGCGAACTTTCCTTTTTATATATGGATATCAATATATATACTTTCGGATACTTATGCTCTCCTCATTTTTTTGGCAACACGCTATTCCTCTCTTCCCTTCTCAGCTGGGTACTGCCCCAGAATGCCGAGTTTTACCCTTTCTATTGCAGATTCGGTTGGCTTGGGCCTGCCGAAGGCTTAGTGTCTACACCAACAATGGACAATTTGGCTCCAGCAATGG